CCAGTAGACCGTCCAGCCGGTCAGTGTGCTCTCCTGGTGACATGGAGAGGGCTGATCTGCCAGGGCCTCTGAGAACCAGGGCAGTTCAGAAGATGCCCCTCTTTCCTGCCTCAGGTCTCGGCTCTGAACTGCCACCATGAGGGAGGAGGGGTTCCAGGGTGAGACCTACACTTGGCCCTGGCAGGAGTGTCATCTCAGTCCCCAAAGGCCAAGACTGTGGGCAGTTGGTTCCTCCAAACCTTCATATCTTCCCCAAACCCACTCTCAAAGCTCCAGTCTTCTCCCTCCACTCAAGAAATTTGTCACACCCTCTCACCACAAAAAGGACCTCAAACAGTTGACTTTTTCCACAGGGTTTGGAACCCTTCTGAGCCTAGTTTTCCTCTCTTTTTTCCCCACCCTCTGCTCCTCATGCCTCATTCCTTATGAGCATTTGTCTTCTGTTCTCATTTTTCCTTCATTTCCTTCTGGAACTCATTTGCAGTCAGGGAGATCCCCTCCCCTCCGAGTCTGCCCCTGACTGTCTGGATGTCACCTGGAGGAAAGGAAATGACTGTTTATTGGGTCTCACAAATGCATAATCTGATACGGTCCCTCAGCCACTCTCCAAGGTCTCTATTATTATTATTATAATTATTGAGACACAGTCTTGTTCTTTTGCCCTGGCTGGAGTGCAGTGGCATGATCTCTGCTCACTGCAACCTCCGCCTCCCAGCTTCAAGCAATTCTCCTCCCTCAGTCTCCTGAGTAGCTGGCATTACAGGCGAGCATGACTATGCCTGGCTAATTTTTGTATTTTTTGGTAGAGATGGGGTTTCGCCATGTTGGCCAGGCTACTCTCGAACTCCTGACCTCAAGTGATCTGCCTGCCTCAGCCTCCCAAAGTGCTGGGCTTCCAGGCATGAGCCACCATGCCCAGCCATCTCTATTGTTATTATCCCATTACACAGATGAGAACACTGAGTGTAGAGCTAGTGTTAAGTTACAAGCCCAAGACCACATGGCTAGGAAGTGCCAAGAAGCATGTCCATGTTAGGCTTATTCACCTGGAGGGTGGGGAGACACTCTGTTCCACCTGCCACCTCCCCCTCACCGAAATTCTCCATTGCTTCTTGTCCATCAGGGCCCATGCCCTACCCCTTCCTCCTCACCGGAGCTTTTCTTATCATCAGTCACTGCATGCTGTTCCTCCCTTGAAGCCCCCAGATGAGTTCTCAAGGCCACCACCTAGTCATCACCTTCCTCTCTCCTCCACCAGTCTCAGGCCTGTCCTGTGGAGAACCTACTCTGTCCCGCGGGAAAAACCCGGAGCAGGCGGTTCCTTCTGGGGGCTCCAGGGAGAGGTGAAGGAGGCCACGCAGGGCACCGCCCGCTGAGCGGGAATCCCGTCCCTAACCGCTGGCGCCCCTCGGGAGGGGCGAGGGCGGAGGTAGTTCTGCTGCGGCATCTGTCTCAGGCGGGCGGGAAGCTGCTGCATTAAATTGTAAAATCGATTTATTGACCGGCAGGTGCGAGCAGCGGCAGATGGAGAGTAGCCCTGCCGGGGCGCATCTGCGGGGAGCGGCGGCATCGATCCCGGCCCCCCTCTGAAATCCATGTCCTGGGCCTTTCTCGCCAGCTCACTCCGAATTGTAGGGCCAAGGTCCTCGAAACTGAGGCGCCGAAGTGGCTAGGGTAGCTCGACTCCCTCCCCCAACACTCTCCTAGCCGCAGGGCCCGGGCTGCGCCCCCACGGCTGCCAGGCTCTGCCAGCCCCACTGCCCCAGTTGGCACGCGGCGGGCCGGGCTGACGCGTGGCAGCGCCCTGCGGCAGATGAGGCACGCGCCGGCCTCATTTCAATGTGAATGGATCGAATGGAGCAGCCATGTGGCAGCAACAGTTTGCAAATCTCCACGCCTTCTGTGCAGCTCCCCGGCCGCCGCTCCCTGCACGTGGCCCCTTCTCCGCAGCGACCGCATCGGCGCCCCTCAAGGCTTAAGTGCCCCGCCCAAGCCAGGCCTGCTTCCCCGCCCCTGGCCTGCCCAGCGGGCAAGGTGGCCCGGCCCCCATCACAATCCTACCCAGGTGCAGTGTGCCCCACGGAGAGCGCCGTCCCCTGGGAGGGGGTTGGAGAGAGGAGAGGTAAAACTGCGCTGAAGGCCTCTGAGCTGCGCCTGAGGCCCTGGGAAGGGCACGGAGACGATGCTAAGGGAAGGAGTCCCGAGGCTCTACGAGGCTCCTGTCGCACCCCCATAACCCGGGGTCAGCATGGGGACACCGCTGGAAGGCGACTTTGAAGTTTCCTGGCCCTCCGTGCCGGTTCTTTTGGCTGGGGGACTGTGCGCAATGCAATGGCCAAGTGTAGGGGGACAGTAGAAGCAGAAGGTCTCTAGGGGCAGAGGCGGTGGGCCTTTCGTGAAGCCAGGCCTAGACCTTGCACCCACTTCTGACGCTGGGCAGTGTTGACGGTGCGGGTCGGATTGAGGAACCCTGGGCCTGCAAAAGGTCTGTGGCAGGGCAGGTCGTTGGGACCCTGGGGCTCTCTGTGCACCCTTTCCATGGTGTTGTAGAGCGTCTGCAACAGGGGCAAGGGCAGCCGACTTCGAAGGGGTTCCAGCCCCACGGTGATCGGTGGCCTCCCATCGCCTCTAAACCTCCTGCTCCTGTGAGCCCCCAGGAAGACGCATGTAGCGTTCTTCAGCCAGCAAGTCCGAAAGTCCCGAGTGGGAGAAGAAGGGAGGCGCAAACCCAGCTGTGGGGCGGAGAGAAACACCTGCGGCCTTCGCACTGGGCTCCCCACCCGCAGCCTGACCCTCTCCTGCTCAGCAAATGGGGGCAAAGCTCGACAGCAGCACGTGGGAGCGCTTGTAGATACTCGGGACCAAGGGAGGCAGTGTCCCAGGCCGGGAATGCACTTCTGGGACAGCGCCTCAGCAAACAGGTGTTTCATGAATGTCTTCTGATACTGAGAATTTAACTATTTCCTCTTCTGGTCAGAGCCTAAAAGATCTCTGGGATCCCCTGGGTTTCGCCTTTCTGAAGACAATAATCCCAACTTTGTTCGGTCCTTGATAATTTGCAAAGTACTTTTGGGCACATTAGTCTGGGCGTGTAGGAGGGTAGAGAATATTCCAGATTTTCCAGTATTGGGAGAGATGCCTTGTGTGGGACTAGATGTCTCCCTTGAGGGTCAGGTATGCAGGACCAGCTCCAGAAAAGGAGGATGTTTTTATTAACTCCCTGGCCAGGATTTGGAGTTGAGAGCGCACAGGGCTAGGTAAGGCTGGATGTCAGCTTGGAGGAGAGCAAGGAGCACCCGCTGGCAACCTAGAGAGGCAGGTCCAGAGATTCATAGAGTATGGGCGGAGAGAAGATCTTGAAGCCCACTTGCCAGGATCCCCGGGAGGCACGCCCCGGGCTCCCCCTCCCTCGGGCCTGGGACTCCGCCTGCCCATAACCTACATTAACTCCCGAGCGCAGCCTGGGCCCATCTGCCGCCCCCGCCCCACCTCGGTTCCCCACGCCAACCCGCTCGCGCCAGATGGTGGCTGGGAGGGGTGGCCGTGCGTGGGGGACCCCGGAGCCCGTCTCCTCACCTCGCCCCTCCCCCAACCCACGCTCCCAACCTCTTGTTTCTCATCCTTTCCCCCTATCCGCCCCCCAGTCCTCCACCACCACCACCCAAGTCAAAAAAAAATCAGACCATGCTCGGCATTGGCAGCTGTTGGGCTCCCCGCCGCGCCCCCACCCTTACCGCCTCCCTCGGGTTCGCGCTGCGTCCCGGCTCCCGCCTGCGCTGATCTTATCGCCCCGACTACAGCCATCACCTCGCGGACGGGCTGACAGCTGAAGCCACAGGGCCCCCGCCACCCTCGGCGTCGCAAAGAGAGAGCTCTCCGGCACCCCGGAGACTGGGAGAAGTCGGCCCTCCCCGGTCTGCAGCCTCCAGGGATCACGCCGGGTTCCGAGAAAGCAGCTGCGCCGCTGCGGCTTGGAGGAATAGGGCCACCCGGGGGACCCTCGCGGGCGAGACTTGTGAAGCCGCCTGAAACTCATACAACTCCGCACGGCTCCAGTTCCACCCCACATCCCGCCTTATGAGGCGAGGACCTGGGCCGACCCGGCCTCAGTTCCTCACCTTGATTCTCCAGTGGCCTGAGCCAACTCTGGCGTCAAGAGAGTTCCTCCTTGCCCCAGCGGAGAGACAGGGCGTTGCCGGGGGCTTGGTGCTGTTGGGGTGGGGGGAGGCAGTGGGCGCAGGAAATGAAGCGGGACCCAGGTGAGGGGACGCGCTGGAGGCGGGACCAGAATCTCATTACCATACAGCTGAGGACGCGCCCCCCCTTCCTACCTCCGGGACCACGCCCCGCCCTCCCCCACCACAGTGGCCACCCGTCTGGGTCTCTGGCACGCGCCAAACCCTGGCAGGGGACAGAAGGGAGAAGGCACGCGCTGGGCACGCCCCCACCGCTAGAGAGGGACCCAACAGGTGCACAGAGAGGGCCTCGAGTCTTAGACCCTTGGCCCCTAGCCTTGCTCAGAGTAGCCACGGAGAGGTTAACGCTTCCGCTGGACTCCCTGCTGCGCTGGGGATGCGTGGTAGGTGGGCACTCTTAGGTTGGGGGCCGGTGAGACCAGGGTTCCTGAGGCTCCAGGAAGGAAAAGGAGATCGGATTTTCCCGGCGCTGGTTTTCGAATTCCGGGCTTAAGTTCTTTTTACCTGCTTGAGGACACTAGGTAACTAACGCCTCCTGCGGACGCACAGCCTACGGGGACTCCCTAGTGTCTCCGCCCCCAAGACCATCCCGGAACCACCCACTCACCTCCCGCCCCATTGCCAGCCAACCCCTCTATCCTCCCACGGCTAGGGTCTCAGACCTTAACCACTCCATCACGGAGAACTGGTCACCTCGGCACACGCAGAGCTGGGGGATCTAGAGGTTGGGAGCTGCACGGAGGGGCGGGGACCTGCGCCCGACCGGCTGGCGGGGAGGGGGGAGCGGCGGGGGGCGGAGGCCCCCTCCGGGCGGCGCTGGGACTGTAGCAGCTAGAGGCCGGGAGGGGAGGGGAGAATGACCATGAGTCTGAGTGACAGGCGGCGAGGAGAGGAGCCAATGTATATAAGGAAGGCTCCCAAGCGCGCAGGTTTCAGTAGCGGCGCTGCGCGCAGGCCGGGAACCGGAGGCCAAGAGCCGCAGCCCCAGCCGCCTCGGTGCAGCGTACCCCGGCACTAGCCCGCTTGCAGCCCCAGGATTAACCCGAAGACGCGTTCTCGGCGCGGCCAGCCGCCGCCCAGCCGCCGTCACCTGGATTACCTACCGCGGCAGCTTCTGCAGAGCTAGCGAGGAGGCCAGTGGGGAGCAGCGTCCTGAGAGGAGCGCGTCTTTTCTGGGACCCCCGCGGCTGGCTGACGCGCAGGAAAGCGGCTTCGCGAACAGAGCCAGATTCAGGGCCCGCGGGTGGAGAGAGCGACGCCCCAGGGGATGGCGGCAGCGTCCCGGAGCGCCTGTGGCTGGGCGCTACTGCTGCTGGTGGCACTTTGGCAGCAGGTAACACGTCCCGCGCCCTCTCCGCCCCCTCTGCCGCGCTCTGGGCCTGAGCCCCGGGCGCCAGCTGAGCTGACCGGTCCCCTCTCTCCTTCCCTCGGTCCTTGGGCAATAGCGCGCGGCCGGCTCCGGCGTTTTCCAGCTGCAGCTGCAGGAGTTCGTCAACGAGCGTGGCGTACTGGCCAGTGGGCGGCCGTGCGAGCCTGGCTGCCGGACTTTCTTCCGCGTCTGCCTTAAGCACTTCCAGGCAGTCGTCTCGCCTGGACCCTGCACCTTCGGGAGCGTCTCGACGCCGGTTTTGGGCACCAACTCCTTCGCTGTCCGGGACGACAGTAGCGGCGGGGGGCGCAACCCTCTCCAACTGCCCTTCAACTTCACCTGGCCGGTGAGCACAGCCTGGGCGCACTGGGAGGTCGCAGAAGCCGAGAGAGGAGGCGCCCTGGGACCAAAGCCCTCTCCCCAGATTTCCTTACACACATACCCCCCACCCCCAAAAGCCCAGGGTACATTCTCTCCTGGCTCTTTCTTCCCGACTCTCTCCTGGGACCTGATCCCAGAGAAGGCTCTCACCAGTCTCCGTCTTCCCAGTTTATGCCCTCCGTTCCCCAGCTCTTGGGACACGACTTTCATTACCTACCACTTTGGTGCGGTACCCTCCCACCCCCTCCTCCGGTGGCTCTCACTTACACTCTCCCATCCCTTAACTCTCCCTCTACCGGGGGTTCTCCTCTCGCCTTCCCTGCTCTAGCGCCACACTGTACGCAGACCCGTTATGTTGACCCGGGCGCAGTAACTGAATCCTGCAATTAGATTAATGAAACCGGCTGCTGCAAGGCACCCCCGCCTCTTCCCGCTTGCTCATCTTGCCATCTCTCCGTTCCCCCACCCCCTTTCCCAGGGTACCTTCTCACTCATCATCGAAGCTTGGCACGCGCCAGGAGACGACCTGCGGCCAGGTGAGTAGCTCGCTCCGCCGCCACAGGGGGGCGACACGGCGCAGTGCCGAAAGAGTTAATCTGTTCTAGGCGGGGGAAGTGCGGGCTTGGGGGTGGGAGGCAGGACGCTTAGCTTGGCCTGGAGCTGCGCCCCGCGCTGGACGCTCGGATTCCGCTCGCTGCCTGGACTCCGAGCACAATTGCGTTTCCTGCGGGTTATTTTTGGCGTGGGAACGCGGGGAGTACGGCGGTGAGAAAGGCTGAAGCTGCCAGCGCCGCTGACGGGCCCCTTCCTGTATTTTACACCTTTCGCGAATTCCGCTCCTTTGGAAAGGGAATAATGGCTTTGGGATGTTGTTCTGACACAGAGGAAAAGGATATTTCAGCAGCACAACAATTCTCACTTTGAAAAGGAAAAAAGAAAACCATTACCCACCTCTGGAGGCAGAACCCCTGAATGGGCACCAAAGGACCCCCTGCTCCCAGGGTCCTCCTCTGCCTGAAGAGCTTTTCTTTCTTTTTTTTTTTTCTTTTTTCCATTTTGACCTCTTTTCCTCTTTCCCCTCCCTATCTGCCTCCTAGACCCCGGGATATCTTAACATCCTTCTATTGTCCCCTTTTTGAATACTATCAGGCCCCCTGCACATGCACACTCACACAGGGCAGCTACGGAGGGGGACTCTGGGTCCCTCTAGCCTGATCCTGCTGGCAGGTGGGGGTCATTTGGATAAATGGGCTGATTTGTTGGCTGATCACCATCATCACAGCCAAGAAGGCCATTGGCCAGCCATCACCGGCACCCTTGGGGACTGGCGGCCCTTCCCTGACCTGACCCTCTGCCCCCTCAGAGGCCTTGCCATCAGATGCACTCATCAGCAAGATCGCCATCCAGGGCTCCCTAGCTGTGGGTCAGAACTGGTTATTCGATGAGCAAACCAGCACTCTCACAAGGCTGCGCTACTCTTACCGGGTCATCTGCAGTGACAACTACTATGGAGACAACTGTTCCCGCCTGTGCAAGAAGCGCAATGACCACTTCGGCCACTACGTGTGCCAGCCAGATGGCAACTTGTCCTGCCTGCCCGGTTGGACTGGGGAATACTGCCAGCAGCGTAAGCAGCCAAGCTCCCACCTGTGTAAAAGGGGCGGGTCCCCTGAGCAAACACAATGGAGTTTCTTGGTCACAGCTTGCCTCCCTTGAAGAGAGGTCTGGGCCTCTTACTAGCTGGGCCTCAGGGACACCTAGGGGTGCTGAGGGTGGGCTTGGCTCCAGACCTCCTCTCTCTTCCCAGCACTCCTCCCATTGTGCCAAAGCCCGCAGGAACCCCATCATGACATTCCATCCAGCTTGGCTTCTCCTTCCCTGTGCCATTGTTTCACTTTAAGATACTCAGGACTCCTTTTGGAGGCCAGGAGTAGGAAGTGGGTCCAGAAGAGCTGGGGGACCCCCAGGGCCAGCAGGGGAGAATGGGGCTCCAGAGTCCTTGGCATCCCAGCCTCACCCAGCTCTGTGTTCTTCCCTTAGCTATCTGTCTTTTGGGCTGTCATGAACAGAATGGCTACTGCAGCAAGCCAGCAGAGTGCCTGTGAGTAGGGGATAGGAAGTGGTGAGTGGGAGCCCCCCCTTGGCCTGGGCCTTTCACCTCACTCTGCCTCTCTCCTGTTCCCCAGCTGCCGGCCAGGCTGGCAGGGCCGCCTCTGCAATGAATGCATCCCCCACAATGGCTGTCGCCACGGCACCTGCAGCATTCCCTGGCAATGCACTTGTAATGAGGGCTGGGGAGGCCTGTTTTGTGACCAAGGTAAGTCAGGGTGAAGAGAAGATGCGGAGTGGGTGGGAAAGATGGGGCGGGGGCGTGGAAATCAGATTTGTCGCCTGGATCCTTCTTACTCGGCGACTGCAGATTTGGCTTTCCCATGATCTTCCAAGGATCTTGGGTCTTTTAAGGATCTTTACAACTGGTCTAGAATGAGGTTGTGGGTCCTTCTTCTCCAGGTGCAGGGGGTGGGTGGGTGATGGAGCCAGGGTGGCTGAAGAAGCCAGGAAGGTGACAGGTCGGCAGCCTGGAGGTTGCACTCATAAATCCTAGCAAGGCCAGAGAGGGATGCCTGGCTCAGTTCCTCTTTCTACCCCGTAGTTACCTATTAACCCCCTGAGTGTTTGCTTACCTTCCAGGGCTGTTTGAGCAGCTTTCCCCTAAACAGCTGTCTGGTGGGGTGTGCTTACTGGCCACCTGAGGCTGTGGTTGAGCTGGGCCTCTGGGCCGAGTGGCATCTAACCGACTTTTTGATGCGGCACAAATGGGCTCCCTGCTCTTACCCAATTGCACTTGCAAGCCAGCTGCCTGAGCCCATGTGGTCTCTACCTGGTGTCTAGGGGTAGTCACTCTCTGGCTATATAGGGGCCTTTCAGTCCCAACTTTAGGGGAGGAGGAAGCCTTTTTTCCTGCATCCTGGTAGCCAGCTGCAGCCTGGGCCTCCCATTTTCAGGATCAAATGGGTGCACCTGCTGCCCAGAGACACCAGCACAGGCCTGAGTAGGGTGGACAGGGGCCTTGCCAGGATGGAGAGAAATTGCCTAGGCCCTGACTTGCTGTCAGCAAGGGGCTTGGGATTCAGTCCCTGTGTTGTGTGTGTGTGTCTGTCCCTTTACTACCACTCCCACCCCAACACTCACACACCTGGTTCCTGCTTATTCTCTTCTCTCTCCACCATATTTGCTCCCAGGTGACACAGTCATATATTCATCATATGCAAACACAGCACTTGCAGGCCCTATATTTACTCTGTCTGGTTCTCCCTCCCTGTCCTTCCCAAATAAAAAAAACAAACACTTATATTTCAAAATACCCTTGTAACACTTCTTCCTTTAAAAAATGTCTGATCTGAGCCAGGCATGGTGGCTCACTCCTGTAATCCCAGCACTTTGGGAGGCCAAGGCGGGTGGATCACGAGGTCAAGAGATCGACAGACCATCCTGGTCAACATGATGAAACCCCGTCTCTACTAAAACTACAAAAAATTAGCTGGGCATGGTGGTGAGTGCCTGTAATCCCAGCTACTCAGGAGGCTGAGGCAGGAGAATTGCCTGAACCCAGGAGGTGGAGGTTACGGTGAGCCAAGACTGTGCCATTGCACTCCAGCCTGGGTAACAAGAGCGAAACTCCGTCTCAAAAAAAAAAAAAAATGTCTGATCACTACCTATGGTGGCTCTCATCTCTCCGCTACCATTTCTACCTGTTGAAATTTTATCCCTCCTTCCAGGCTTATCTCAGCTGCCCCTCCTCCATGGAACTGTTTCTGACTTCCTCCCTGACATGTGGCCTTGCTCTCCCCTCCTCTTCCTTATCTTCATACTACTTGGGTTGGCAGTTTATGAGTTTCCCTGGCAGGACATCTTCCAGTTCTAGTGTGTTGTTTCACTTTTGGTTGACTGCACTGGTCATATGTGATTCAAGGCGCTTTAAGAAACATGATTTTAGGCCAGGTGCAATGGCCTGTAATCCAAGCACTTTGGGAGGCTGGGGTGGGTAGATCACTTGAAGTCAGGAGTTTAAGACCAGCCTGGCCATCCTGGTGAAACCCATGTAAATTACAAATATTAACCGGGCACAGTGGCGCACGCCTGTAATTCCAGCTACTTAGAAGGCTGTGGCATGAGAATCACTTGAACCCAGGAGGCGAAAGTTTTAGTGAGCCTATATCACATCACTGCACTCCGGCCTGGGTGACAAAGTGAGACTGTCTAAAAAAAGAAAGAAAGAGAGCGGGAGAGAGAGAAAGAGAAGAGAAGAAAGAGAGAGGAAGGGAGGGAGGGAGGGAGGAAGGAAGGAAGGAAGGAAAGAAGGAAGGCAGGCAGGAAGGAAAGGAAGACAGAAAGGAAGGAAGGAAGGAAGGATTTCATTGGTGGGGGAGGAAGGATGTTTGGGCCTGGGAGACTTTGAGTTGAGGCATCTTTGAGCCAAACATGGGGGAAGCATGGACTGCAAGGAGTCTGGATGTGAGCGCATTCCCTGGTCCTACTTAGCTGCTTGGTTCCTGTCTCTGCAGATCTCAACTACTGCACCCACCACTCCCCGTGCAAGAATGGGGCAACATGCTCTAACAGTGGGCAGCGAAGCTACACCTGCAGCTGTCGCCCAGGCTACACCGGTGTGGACTGTGAGCTGGAACTCAGCGAGTGTGACAGTAACCCCTGTCGCAATGGAGGCAGCTGTAAGGTGAGGCCCAGACCAGCGCAGAAAGACAGAGGTGTCAGACAGTGTCGGGGCATCCCTAACCTAGGCAGCCAGTGGATGTTCAGCCATGGACAGGCATTGTGGGCAGGTGAAGCCCAGCCTCCAGTCACGCTTCCCTGTTCCCCAGGGGTTGACTCTGGCCTCTTTACGGTCTCTCTGCAGGACCAGGAGGATGGCTACCACTGCCTGTGTCCCCCAGGCTACTATGGCGTGCATTGTGAACACAGCACCTTGAGCTGCGCCGACTCCCCCTGCTTCAATGGGGGTTCCTGCCGGGAGCGCAACCAGGGGGCCAGCTATGCTTGTGAATGCCCCCCAACCTTCACTGGCTCCAACTGCGAGAAGAAAGTGGACAGGTGCACCAGCAACCCCTGTGCCAACGGTGCGTCCTGCTGCCCTGCTAACCTGGTGGACTGGCCCTGGGGCTGAGAGAGCCTTCTGGTGAGGGAGGGTCAGGAGAGGATGGAGGCATTGTCTGTCACTCTGGCTCCCCATCTGCTCCAGAGGGCAAAGAGCTTGCTTGATCAGCTGGGGGGCTGTGGAAGAGGAGCAGATTGCAGCACGCAGGCTTTAGGAGCAGGGGTGGTATGCACCCTGCATAGCTTCCATTCCTATTACCATGTCAGAACGGCTGGGGTGGCCTCTGACCCTCCCCAGGAAGTCCTGAGCTGGAGAGGGATGTTGGAGGCTTTGTGTTCCTCCTCAGGGACCTGCTCCTGGAGGCCTCATCTTACCCCATGCCCAGATAGAGCCTGAGGTAGCATGAGGCATCTTAAATGTTCTCACCTTTTGAGGCACAAAGCCTGTTGATAATCCTGTCTGTCTGGCTCCCAGGTGACCCTCTGTGAGGCAGGCAGGCAGTGCTCAGGAGCAGGAGAGGAATGGGACAGGCTGAGAGGGAGTCTACTCTCTCACTGAAGCCCCTGGCGCTGCCATGTCTCCATCACTGAATGGGAAACTGTAACATCTGTTCTCTGTCCTTCATGTGGTTGTGAAGATGAAGTAAAACAATGATAATTGTACTTATGTGAGCATTAACTATATAGGAAGCATGGGCTCTTGCCTTCATGCACCTTCCTAGCTATCATATTTTTTTTTTTTTTTTTTTTTTTTTTTGAGACAGAGTTTTGTTCTTGTTACCCAGGCTGGAGTGCAATGGCGCGATCTCGGCTCACCGCAACCTCCGCCTCCCGGGTTCAGGCAATTCTCCTGCCTCAGCCTCCTGAGTAGCTGGGATTACAGGCACGCACCGCCATGCCCAGCTAATGTTTTGTATTTTTAGTAGAGACGGGGTTTCACCATGTTGACCAGGATGGTCTCGATCTCTTGACCTCGTGATCCACCGGCCTCGACCTCCCAAAGTGCTGGGATTACAGGCGTGAGCCACCGCGCCCGGTCCCTAGCTATCATATGAAGGAGCTAGCATTCTATTCCAGTCTAACAAATGGGGAAGCTGAGGCTTAGGGATATGATTAAGCAGCAAGTGTCAGATCTCAGACGAGAGAGAGACAGCTGAGGTCCAAACTCAAGCCTATCTGTCTGATTCTACGTTAAAGTTCTGTAGATGCTAGTCATTATTATTATTTTTTTTTTGAGACAGAGTCTTGCTTTGTCACCCAGGCTGGAATGCAATGGTGCGATCTCGGCTCACTGCAACCTCTACCTCCCAGGTTCAATCAATTTTCCTGCCTCAGCCTCCCAAGTAACTGGGACTACGGGCGCACGCCACCACACCCGGCTAATTTTTTGGTATATTTTTAGTAGAGACAAGGTTTTACTGTGTTGCCCAGGTTGGTCTGGAACTCCTGAGCTCAGGCAATCCACCTGCTTCGGCATCCCAAAGTGCTAGGATTATAGGCGTGACCCACCCCGCACCTTGCCGTGATGCTAGTCATTTTTTTTCTTTTTTTTTTTTTTTTTTTAAAGATGGGGTTTTGGCCAGGCGCAGTGGCTCACGCCTGTAATCCCAGCACTTTGGGAGGCCGAGGCGGGTGGATCACGAGGTCAAGAGATCGAGACCATCCTGGTCAACATGGTGAAACCCCATCTCTACTAAAGATACAAAAAATTAGCTGGGCATGGTGGCGCGTGCCTGTAATCCCAGCTACTCAAGAGGCTGAGGCAGGGGAATTGCCTAAACCCAGGAGGCGGAGGTTGCAGTGAGCCGAGATTGTGCCATTGCACTCCAGCCTGAGTAACAAGAGCAAAACTCTGTCTCAAAACCAAAAAAAAAAAAAAAGATGGGGTTTCACCATGATGGCCAGGCTGGTCTTGAACTCCTGACCTCAGGTGATCCACCCACCTCGGCCTCCCAAAGCGCTAGGATTACAGGCGTGAGACACCGCGCCTGGCCGATGCTAGTCATTTTTATACATGAGCCCACTGAGGCCTAGAGAATCAGGGTCATGCTAAACTCCAGGTCTCTTGACTGTGCGATTCTCTTTGCAGTGGGCTCTGCAAGTGGAGGTAGAAGGGCCTGAGCGCATTCCTGGAGTGGGGCTCCCACCCCCTGCCCCAGGGGGCTCCCAGGCTCTCACTGACTTGTGTCTCATGCATCCTCACAGGAGGCCAGTGCCTGAACCGAGGTCCAAGCCGCATGTGCCGCTGCCGTCCTGGATTCACGGGCACCTACTGTGAACGCCACATCAGCGACTGTGCCCGTAACCCTTGTGCCCATGGTGGCACTTGCCACGACCTGGAGAATGGGTTCATGTGCACCTGCCCTGCCGGCTTCTCTGGCCGGCGCTGTGAGGTGCCGACATCCAGTGATGCCTGTGCCTCGAGTCCCTGCCTCAACAGGGCCACCTGCTACACTGACCTATCCACAGACACCTTTGTGTGCAACTGCCCCTATGGCTTTGTGGGCAGCCACTGCGAGTTTCCTGTGAGCTTGCCACCCAGCTTCCCCTGGGTGGCCATCTCCCTGGGCGTGGGGCTGGCGGTGCTGCTGGTGCTGCTGGGCATGGTGGCAGTGGCTGTGCGGCAGCTGCGGCTTCGACGGCCAGACGATGGCAGCAGGGAGGCCATGAACAACTTGTCAGACTTCCAGAAGGACAACCTGATTCCTGCCGCCCAGCTTAAAAACACAAACCAGAAGAAGGAGCTGGAAGTGGATTGTGGCCTGGACAAGTCCAACTGTGGCAAACAGCAAAATCACACACTGGACTATAATCTGGCCCCAGGGCCGCTGGGGCGGGGGACAATGCCAGGAAAATTTCCTCACAGTGACAAGAGCTTAGGGGAGAAGGCGCCACTGCGGTTACACAGGTGAGCAGCACCTGGAAGCCCAGGGCCTGGCCACTGGCCCGACATGGTTCTGCCTGGGCTCTTCCTAGGCTAGGCTGGAAGAAGTTAAGCAGCTGGGGTTTTGTTATTGACAGGAAGATCCTTCAGTAGGATTTCTGCCAGGGGTCCTTTGTCCTTCCCTCCCATTCATTCATTTGTTCATTCACACGTCAAGTGTCCCTAGTATGTCTTTTGTGACTGTGTCTTTCCACAGTGTGGCTTGCCTCTAGTGGCAACACTGGCTTTTTACAGGGCTCAGGCCCATCTGCTAAGGTTGGGAGGCCTGTAGCTCTCTTAGGGGCCTGTTCCTAACTGCCCCCCACTACCAGCCCAGCAGTGAGCACCTCCAGCCCCTGTGTCCTCCCCAAGAATCCCCACTGCAGGTGCCCTTTGGCTCTCCTGGACCCTCCCTCCCCTTGAGCCTCTCCCACCCCTCCCTCACATGTCTGTCTTGTGTTCCCTCAGTGAAAAGCCAGAGTGTCGGATATCAGCGATATGCTCCCCCAGGGACTCCATGTACCAGTCCGTGTGTTTGATATCAGAGGAGAGGAACGAATGTGTCATTGCCACGGAGGTGAGTGCTGGGCTCACCTTCCCTCCCAGCATGTCCTCCCTGCCTTTCGTGGGTGGAAAAGTGGCCTGGTCACTCTCAACACCATGGGCCATTCCTGAAGGGTGGGTGGAAACCCTGCCTTGGCAGGCCAAGTTCAGTGGGCTCTTGGGTCCCTGCTGGCTTTGTTGCCACAAAGGGCGTGAAACAGGAACCATGGTGGCTCCTTTCCTACTGTATTGGTGCTGGGCTGGGCAGCCACGGCACTGCTTGCCAGCCGCCCTCACCCCTTGCACCTCTCCCACCTCTTCCCACTGGCTTTCTCCATTGACCTCCTGAGCACAAGCTCCCAGGCTTGTGTGTGTGTTCAGCCAAAGACAGGGAAGGACTGCCCACCTGGCCTTAGCCCTCGCCTACCCCATCAGCTTCTCCCAGGGAGACCCAGAGAGGGCCTGGAGGGAGTGCGCATGCCCAGGGTAATCTGTTTCCCTGCCTCTGCTTGCTCCCAGGTATAAGGCAGGAGCCTACCTGGACATCCCTGCTCGGCCCTGCGGCTAAACCTTCCTTCTGCATTGTTTACATTGCATCCTGGATGGGACGTTTTTCATATGCAACGTGCTGCTCTCAGGAGGAGGAGGGAATGGCAGGAACCAGACAGACTGTGAACTTGCCAAAAGATGCAATACCCTTCCACACCTTTGGGTGTCTGTCTGGCATCAGATTGGCAGCTGCACCAGCCAAGGGAACAGAGGAAGAGAGAGATGCCACTGGGACCTGCCCTGCCAGCAGTGGCCTTCAGGGGGCTCCTTCTGGGGCTCCAGCCTGTTTTCCAGAGAGAGTGGCAGTAGCCCCATGGGGCCTGGAGCTGCTGTGGCCTCCACTGGCAGCTGTGTTTCCAAAAGTGCCTTTGGCCCAGGCTCCATGGTGACAGTTGGGCCCAAATCAGAAAGAAGAGAGGGGTCCAGTGAGGGCAGGGCCTCCTGTGGGCTAGAAAGCCACTGGGTGTGTCTCTTGGCAGGGTTTGCCCAGCAGGTGAGGTGAGTATTCAAGGGAGAGGAGTGCTTTCTGCCCCATGCCTCCAACCACTGCATGTGGGCCTGGCTCTCTGGTCTAGGCCCTGTGGGCAAGAATGTCGGTCTGCCTGGCCTCCACCACCCTCTGGCCCTGGGCACCTGGGGGCTCCTGTGAGCAGACAGGCAGAGGGTCTGCCCTTCCCACCAGCCAAGGGTGCCAGGCCTAACTGGGGCACTAGGGGCAGTCTGTTGGAAATTCCATTGAGGGGGAAATCAGGTGCTGAGGCAGCCTGGACCCTTTCCTCCCTCAAGCCCATCTCCACGACCTCGAGCCTGGGCTCTGCCCATGCCCACTATTGCCCCAGACCACCCTCAAAGCTGGTCTTCAGAAATGAATAATATGAGTTTTTATTTTGGGTTTTTTTTTTTTTGTAGTTTATTTTGGAGTCTAGTATTTCAGTAATTTAAGAATCAGAAGCACTGACCTTTCTACATTTTATAACATTATTTTGTATATAATGTGTATTTATAATATGGAACAGAAGTGTACAGGAGTTTATTACTTCTTGGGTCCTGTCTTTGTGATGGCACCCCGCCTACTCACCCAAAAAACTCCAAACTCCCTTCTATTGCTGCCGTGTGCCCTGCTGGAACCCCTGGGAGCTGTACAGACACTTGGATTTGGCATGTCATACCCTAGGCCCTTGTCTTCCTCCATTCCTTGGAGAGCCTCACCTCACCCATCTAGTCCCCAGCTTCAGCCAGCCTTCCTTGCCTCCTGGCTTTGAGTTGGTACAGCTCCCACCTCCCTCTTTATGTTCCCACCATTCCTTGGTGGATGCTCCTTCTGACCTGAATCAATTATTCCTTCCTCTCTTCAAGCCTGAAAAAGCTTACGGAGCTCCCTAGTTCTACCTGTTTTTGTTATATTCAAAAGGATTCTCTTGTCAGAGGATGGGGCCTCTGCACCACGGTGACATCTGTGTCCTTCCTCCTGCTGTTGCAGGGTGCCTGGCTCTTTTCTGTCTTAGCCCCAGCAGGGGAGAGGTCTGGGGCAGGGCAGGAGAGAGGTTTGCCTTATGTTTGCCCTCTTTGTAGCAGATGAGCGCTGAGACTCTGAGCACCTTGTCTGCCCCGGGCTGCTAGAATGTACTGAAGATTGCAAAGACAGGGAGAAAGGGGAGGATGAGGTAGCCTTCCCTGAGTCCAGGTTTCTCTGGCAGAGGCACTAATGAGGGAGTTTCCAGTCTCACTACGAGTTTCATGCCTAGCTTCCTCTAAGGCACAGGATAGTCCCTAGGGTACCACAGCCCTCTCCATAGTCAAAAATATGCCCCATGGAGAGCAAATGATGAAAAAATTAGCCACTGACAAAAAGCTGAGCAGATGCTCCCAGCTCTTAGCCTGTCCACAGTAAAGCAAAATAGACCCACCAGATGCCCTGCTCCTAATGGAGTCCCAGGGTTTGGAGTGCTACTTGCCCTCCCTTTTTTCCTCTCTGCCTGACACAGAGACACCATGCCCACACCAGACCTGGGTGCTTATGCCAGAGATATGAGAGCACGCACACGCTCCACGCCTTACTCATCGCTCCCTGTTCCCTGCACTGTACACACAGGGTATCAAACAGGAAAGCATTCAGGGAACCGTTCCCACAGCCTGAGCCGGCAGCAGGGGGAAGAATAACACGACCTCACTCTTCCTGCCCAAAATGAAACAGGAAAGCAGCTCCCAGGCCCTAGGGGGGGCAGGATGGGGGAACTGGGCTGGGACTCGAAGGCAAGATGACGAGGCTCCCATGTGGGGGACAGGTAGGACACCCGCAGGCCTGCACGTCCACAACACCAGGCTGTGACAGACTGCACAGGCTGCCAGACCCACAGAAAAGTGCCCCAGAGTGAAGCTGGCTGGCAAAGCTCACAGCTTCTCTGATATGCTAGATGGGGAACTGGAGCGCCCACCAAAACGCTGGCTTTCTGAGGGAAAGTGGGGACCCGTGGGGAACTTGGTCTGGGCAGCTCTGACATGCAGCTCATGCGAGGCTCCACCTCTAACAACATGCCAGAAGCTGGGCAGGCACTTGGGGTGTAAACAGGCCACAGCAGAGGAAGCCCCTTCTCCCCAGGATTTCCTGAGAGTCCAGCCCCTTCTGATAGGTAAGGCACCCATGATCACTTGAGTGTCCTGGGGTACAGGTACAGGAGATCTTCTAGGCTTGGCAGAAAGGAAGCCAGATGATGGTTCTAGACTCACTGTGAGGTACCTTCTGCAGTTTAGCCAATACCCACCTTTAATTTGCATGGGTATTTCACCAGGGAATTCAGAGTTTAGCAGTACCTTAACAGCCTGGAGCCAGTGCCCTACCCGGAGAATCAATCTGACCCCACGGTGACCTCCAGCCCTGAGGACAGCTGCTTTTCCAGGGGCCCTCGGCTGGTAGAGTCAGGGAGGGGCTGTGCAGAGGGAGAAATGACTTTATTCTGCTTGCTAAGCCAGGTTCCCCTCTCCTGCCTCAGGCCAGGGTCAGCCTGGTCAGGAGGTAGAGAAATAAGGACAGTGGCTCCCACCTCCCCCATCTAAGGCTAGAAAAGGCCACCCAACTAAACCAAGGTGGTGTGGATGCTCCATCTCTTGACTGGGACTCACAGAGCTCTCCGTAGGTCCCCTCCCCGCAGCTCTTCCAGCCTGTCTCCGTGGGTCCACAGGATCAGCGGCCCCAGCCCTCCACCCCACGTGGCCCGCTGCATTCCGGGAAGGGAGTGGAAGTGATTCACTGAGGGAACTGTGACTGTCTCTTCCCCGGGCGGGGATGCGCCTGCGAGGTCCCAGCGGCCTTCCCTGGGCGGCTGCGCTCTTCCTCGCGCCCAGAGCGCCCCGAGCCCCGCGCGGAGGCGGAAAGGGCAGGTGCGCCTGCCGGCCCGGGTCAGCCCTCCACCTGCCGCCGCCTCCGCCTCGCCCCGCAGCTCTAGCGGCTCCCCGCCCCCCGCGCTCTTTGTTACAGCCCGACTTCCTGTTTGCGGCCGCCGATCCGGCTCACTTCCCGGGCCGGGAAGCAGCCGAAGGCCGCGAGCTTCTGGGAGGCTCCCCCGCCAGCTTGGCTCCGCCTTCTGCCTCCCCAATCACGCCTGAACCTGGAGGCCCACGCGGTGAGCCGCAGGGGTGGCAGGCGGGCGGGACTGCTGGGGGCCCGCTGCCCGGCACTAGAGGGCGCTGCGCGGCCGTTAGGGCTGCGCGCGGGAGGGGCCGCCGACCCGGGAGGCTCGCTGGGGCTGCCCTTCTCCGTCCGGGGCCGACAGGACAAAGGCGGCCGGGGGCGGCCAGACGCCCGAGCTCCCTCCGGGCTCCGAGCCCCTAAGCCGAACGGATAAACTGGGGAGAACCCAGTGCGAGACTTTCCCCCAGATATGCTCACTGTGTGCAGGGGAGCAGGCCCTTTCCCTCGCCCCCGCCGTCGCAGCAGCCAGCATCCCTCGCCACCCCACACGCCTTCGGCTGTCCTGGTCCAAAGACATCCTCAAGGGAAGGGAATGGCATCAGGCAGGGCCGGGCACCGGGTCTGAGTTATGGGGCTGGAGCTCCCTTCCAGCGCCACCCCTCATTGCGGGGTGCTCTGGGACAAGTCCATCTACTTCTTCATTCCTGCAACACTGATTAGCATTCTAGCGGCTTATCCTTAACCTCTCTATGGGTAGTGCCTGTTAGGCATTGCTAGGGGGTTGAAATGAGGATGTATGGAAGCGCTTGAGCAGTGTTGTCACCTCTGCTGGTGGGTTAATCCTCCTCAAGCATCCCTAAGTGAGCCACTTTCTGGAACTCCCTGGCCCACATCAGCGGGGTGGGCCCAAGGAAGGTTGGAGTCTGGCAGCATAGTCCCAGTGTTAGCGGCCAAACCATGCGGGTGTGCTGCAACCTCAGTTGTTGCCTCCTCAGAAGAAAGAATTCCACCGAGGGGCATAATAAGGCAGACGGCGACGCTGAAGCAAGTTTTAGAGCTGGAGTGAAAGCTTATTACAAAGTATTAGAGCAGGAACAAAAGGAAGTAAAGTACACTTGGAAGAGGGCCAAGTGGGCGACCTGAGAGATTCAAGTGCGCGTTTGACCTCTGACTTGGGGTTTTCTATGTTGGGATGCTTCCGGAGCCTTGCATCCCTTCTCCCGGATTCTTCTCTGAGGGTGGGAGACCCGCATGACCAAGACCTGCCAGCTCTGGGAAGGGGTCGCCTGTGCAGTATGCTTACTGGAGTTGTGCACATGCTCACTTGAGGCATTTTTCCCTCATCACTTGAGCATTCCTAGAGGAAGGTCAGATACCAGTTAAGCTCCGCCATTTTGCCTCTTAGTGTACTCGCTGGAGCCCACTTGCCTGGGTCCCAGAGCACCCGGCAATGAGGGGCGGCGCTGCAAGGGCGCTCTAGCCCCATAACTCAGAGCGGGTGCCGGGTCCTGCCCAATTCCTGAGATCTTATCGGGAAGCTGGTGATCAGTTTCAGGTATTTCTATCTATTGAGAGACTGCCTTTCCCTGGTGCGGGCTGCAACAATTGTGAGAGAGAGTAACAACTACCTGACAGTCCACCTGTCAGACTACCACCTGACGGTAGCCTGACATTCCTGGTGGGAGTAGGGGCCCTCTCCTGAGCTGCTCATGCCTGTCTACCTACTGTGACACCAGCAGTAGCCCTAGGACCAAGCAAGGCAGCTGAGATCACAGGTTTCCATCCCCATCACTTCTGATGTGGCCCTGTCTTCGAGGAGCATCACTAATCTAGGTCAACCTCCTCTGATGTAGGCAGGGGTAGAAGGGAGGCCCTTGCTGTGGGAAGGGGCAGCAGGACCCCCAAGTCCTCAAGAGTCACCTTCCCCTTGGACATCTGCCACAAGTGACTTTTACCACCTTTCCTTGGCCTCTGGGGCATGGCACCCCTTAACACTCTGGTCAACAGTGGCCTCAGCTTATTTCTTTCATCCTCAAAGGTTCTCTGAGGCCAGGACACAGGACCCAAGATGCCAAGTGAGTCTACAGCCTGACCCAGGGTAACCAGCATCACGGGAATCCGGATTTAGCAACAGGTCGGCTCTGGCCCAGGAGTGCCCTGTGTCATTGCACCCCCTGCAGGACAGAGCCACAGCCCTGCCAGGCATGGCTAGCCTGTCTCTAGTGACCCCTCCCCCTGGCAGGGCTTGGGGTTTTGCAAACTGGCACTGACTGTTTGACTTGTTAGAGGAGTGCAGTCCCTTTCCCACAGTGGCAGATGTTGGGGCAAGACTCATGGTATTAAGCCCAGTCTGTTCAGTTTCACTCCTCTACCACCAGCTCCCTTCCTCAGCGCTTCTTCTTTTCTCTGGTAGAAGACATCTAAAAGGTCCTGAACATTCTCCATTCTTTTGTTTTGTTTTTTGAGGTGGAGTCTCGCTCTGTCGCCAGGCTGGAGTGCAGTGGTGCCATCTCGGCTCACTGCAACACCTCCGGGGTTCAAGTGATCCTCCTGCTTCAGCCTCCCGAGTGGCTGGGACTACAGGCACGTGCCACCATGCCCAGCTAATTTTTTTTATTTTTAGTACAGATGGGTTTCACCATGTTGACCAGGATGATCTCAATCTCTTGACCTTGTGATCCACCCATTTCAGCCTCCCAAAGTGCTGGGATTACAGGTGTGAGCCACCGTGCCCAGCCACATTCTCCATTCTATTAGCAGTGGGCCCTGGGGAAGAAGGGGTCCCAGCTGCTCTCATTCATTTAAGAGGCTTCACTGCCTTGGCTGCCTGTGGAACGCAGAATCTACAGCACCTGCCAGGCCCCTTGTGAGCAGCCTGACTTCTCCACATGGGCTGTTTTCTGAGGCTTCTCTTCTAGAGCCAGGTCCCCCCACACCACAGCATTTCCATGAGATCTGGGGCTCACCCCAACCCTGTGGATCTCCTCTCTTTGCAGCCCTGTCACCCCACTGAGATGCTCCCCACTGCAGCTTCTCCTCAGCCCTGCAACTGGTTGCTTCCTGTTCCCACAAATTGTACTTTTCTCTCTCCTTGGAATGGGGAGCACCACCCACCAGTCCTCTGTTGGCAGCCCAGCCCCTTTCCTTCCAGGTAGATGAGGACTGAGCTCTGGATAATTGGAACACCGGCCCCCACAGAGGTGCCCGCTCAGCTGGACCTCTCCCGCTTCTTGGAGGCTAGAAAATGGGCAGGAAGCCAGGTATTTCCACCATCCTGGGCACCCTTCTGCCAGGATATGAGTGAATCTTTACAGCCCTTGCTTTTGTGGACCAAGGGCCAAGCAGCCTTCCCCCTTGGCCCTGGGTTCAGCTGACACGCCCTGCAGAACAGCTGCCTGGGACTGTCTCTCCCTCTTCTGAGGTAGACTGTATGCAGGGACCCACTACACTATCTGCCCCTCCTTTGGCCAGAGTGTGGGTGGGAACTAGGTCCTTCTTGCACAAGGACTGAAGACCTGCAGACACACTTATTCTCTCAGAGGTCAGTAGGAAGAATGGTCCCTCATATATGGTGGATTATTTACTCATTCATTCATTTTAGCACCCTCATCCCATGCATACACAGAAAATCTCTCTTGGTTCAAGCAACTGTTTGTTCTGTCAATAGCACATTTGTTCTGCTAATAGTGTACTTGGGTAAGACCATTACCCATTCTGTCTTTGAAAAACATGCCTTGGCTGGGCATGATGGCTCACACCTATAATCCCAGCATGTTGGGAGGCCAAGGCAGGTAAATTGTTTGAGACCAGGAGTTCAAGACCAGCCTGGGCAATATGAAGAGACACCATCTCTACAAAAATACAAAACAATTAGCTGGGTGTTGTGGCACGCGCCTGTAGTTCCAGCTACTTGGAACTACAATGAGGTGAGGTGAGAGGATTGCTTAAGCCTGGGAGATGGAGGCTGCAGTGAGCTGAGATAATGCCATTGCACTCTAGCCTGGGTCACAGAGTTAGACCCTGTCTCAAAAATAAACAAAAAAATTTAGCTGGGCAGGGTGATGCATACCTGTAGGTCTCAGCCACCTGGGAGGCTGAACTGGGAGGATCACTTGAACCCAGGAGGTCAAGGCTGCAGTGAGCCATGATCGGGCCACTACACTCCAGCATGGGTGACAGAGTGAGACCCTGTCTCAAACAAAAAAAGCATGGCCAGGTGCAGTGGCTTACACCTGTAATCTCAGCACTTTGGGAGGCTAAGGCGGACGGATCACTTGAGCTCAGGAGTTTGAGACCAGCCCAAGGAACATGACAAAACCCCATCTCCAAAAAAAAAAAAAAAAAAAAAGCTGGATGGTGGCACATGCCTGTAGTCCCAGCTACTCAAGAGGCTGAAATTGGAGGATTGCTTGAGTCCAGGATGTCGAGGTTGCAGTGAGCCAAAATCCAGCCACTGTACTTGCCTGGGTGACACAGCGAGACTCTGTCTCAAAACAAAACACCCCACATTCCTTTGGCACCATACTTGTTAGAACAATCTGTGAATTGCATGGCAAGAATGGAGACCGCAATAGCTGGAGATTTCC